CACTCAATCTCCAACTGTAACAAATCTGAGTATCAGCAATTTGTAGCAAGATGGGTACCATGTGCAGAAATATGTATATTAATATATAATCTCTCTAAGTGTGTAAAAATGCACTCTGAGTAGTCATAATTGAACTGAGGGACATTTGTCATGACTAGGGACATGAATAGGAAAGGAAAATTACTTTTTGTCCTTAGGACCTGCTTTCTTTCTGTTTGAGAGAAGTGATACATTCCCTGCCTCTTTCTCATCTACATTACTGATAATTGATACATCTGAAGAAATACTGGTAAATTAAACATAATTTTAAGCTTCTTCATTGCCTTCTGAGAATCTTAAAGTAATTTGCTTTTAGTAAAGACTTCAAGAAGTATGTCACTGTTATAAAACTGGTCGTCGTTGTAACAATGATAATTTTTTTAAAGGCGAGACATCTAAATCATAGAACAGCTAACTCGGGGTTTTCAGAGCACTTTAAGTACATCATTTTTGTGGTTGTTTGCTTTGAGTTGCTTAATGTAGTCATCTAAAATTCAAGGCTCCTAAAATCACTCCATGGAATCCATCACTACATGGATTTTGCCCAAGATCACAGTGGGAGTCTGTAATGCTGCTCGGCCCAGAACCTACATGCTGATTCTGACCTTGCTTAAGCTAATCTTAAATCTTCCATAGTTATTAATGTCAGTAGATTTTCTTTTTATACAAAATTACTGCCACTAAGATTAAAATTCAGATTTCCAGACTTTTCATCCTGTGCTTTAGCTCAACAGAAAGTAATTCTTTCTCCATATGCTATTTTTTGGATGAGCTTTAAAATCAGATGCTTATCTCAGTCTCTTCTTTTGGCAAAAATGAACTGGAAATCCCAGCTGGAGATTTCTATTCTGGCTGTGTCAGAAATGTCTTGGGAGCAGCTTTCTTTGCAGTATTTCAGTGCTGCTCATTCTGCTCCCATTCACAATATCAGGAAGTACAAAACAAAATTTACATTCTGGTGTTTTAGACCAAGGGAAATCTCCTTTATTGGTTTAGAGGTGGCTTAAAACACTCACATTTTTTAAATAGAGCCATGTAGTTGGAGATTCTTGATTTCTCCATATTTACCTCAGACAGAGCACCAAGGGTAAAATTAAAGTCAGTGACATCTAACACAACTCTTAAGTTTATACTCAGTTGTTTGACAGTCAGGGTGTTATGCATAAAACTGTTTTGTCCTTCTGATCCTGTATTTCTGTGTGCATGCCAGGTAGTGATGATGCAAGGAGGCAAAGCTCAGTTGTAGATGCACTTCAGGTTTTACCTTGTTGATAAAGCCATCCCTTTTTCAAGCATACTGGACTCACTGCTTGCCTAGCTATGAGTTTCTCCTTTATCATGATTCAAAATATCCTTTAATCTCTCAAGAATGCCTCCTTTTCTTGTGTAAGAGGAGCACTCAGATTTTTTCTGTGTCTCGTAGCTGCGGTTCAGTCCAAGGGAGGTGAGAGAATGTGCTACTTCAAAGGTGATTTAAGTGAGCCTAATGTTTTAGGCTCTTTCAGAGTCTTTTCATTTTCAACAAGGACCTCCTGAATCTTGGTTTATCCCCAGGTGTTTCCACTGACATATAACTGGCTCTGAGAGCAGCCACGTGTGTTCTGCTAATGGGAGACAGCACTGGCGTGCTCCTCAAAACTCTGTGTTCAGCCTGGCTCCTGCTCCAATCCCAGCTTGATTTACTTGGAGTGTTATCTTGGAGAGAGCTGGCTCTGAAAACGAGAGTAGGTGGAAAAAGTTTCACTGAAAAGAACAAATTAATGTTTCCTGTCTTCTGTCCACACAGGCTTTTTTGGACAGAGCTTCTGCTGAGGTGTGTACCATATGTAAGTATTCTTGAAAACTGGTTTCTCTCTGGTGTCACGACCTAGAGAACAAATACAGAATTGTTGAGTGGATGAGCTGCAGGTTTTTCCCTTCTTCTCTGCCCAGCATTTCTTAATTTCTCCATTCATGTCTCGATCCCATGGGTTTTTTGTTTTTTATTTTTTTGCCTGGGACATCAAACAGAACTTTTGATTGTGTAGTGCCAGTGAAAATCAGGATTCACCTGTGAATTCTGTAGACTCAGAATTAAGCCAGGAGGCAACAATAAACAACCATTGCCTACAGCTGAGCATTTTGTTAAATATGCAGCTGTGAGAGGAGCTGGAGGCCTATTGGGACCCTTTCACCCAGCTCTGACCAGCTTTGGAGAGGGTGGCTGTCCTGTCTGCCCACAAAGGACAGGTGTGGCACCATGGATCCCCTTGTTCTGCCTCTCCTGAGGGATCCCAGGAGTCCTCAGCACCTGGATCCCATTGAGGTGGGATGATGAATTCCCCAGCACCTTTCTTTGGCTTTGCCTGTTTCCTAATAAAAATGGCGTCAACAGACCTCAACAAACAGTGATTCTTGTTTCATGGCAATGATTACCATGGCTCACAAGCTTGAAGGGTACAGGTCCAGATTCTTTGGAAAACTATAATTTTTTTTAAAAAGCGTTTTTACTTCAAAAGAAGATCCTGATTATGACCTATTAGTCTGATTGTGGAAATCAGGATAGTACTTGCATTGCTAATACCTTAATTTGTTGTCTTGGAATTTCAGCTGTTGAAAAAATTTCTCCTTTGACAAAAAAGCACCCTCACTTGCTGTCCTCCAATGCCTTCCATAAGGCACATCCACCTCTGGATGAAAAGCAAGATATGAGAGGGCTTGGTGCTGTGTCCATGTAGCAAAAATGAGGGACATTCACAGCCTGGCATTGTCACTGGCTGCCCTGTCCTGCCTGCCTCTCCTTGTCAGTTCATTTAGCTAAATCCTTTCTTCTTAAATTACTCCCTTCTGCTTAACAACTTTCACAACTTGTTTGCAACCACCCGCAGCCACTGTGGTTGTGTATTCTTTTCTGGGGGATATATTAGACTGTTTATTTAGGCTGAAAGCTGCAAAGGGAAGGTTTGCAACTGTGTTTTCATGCTGTCTAACACCACCAGAGCCTGACCATTGTTTGTTTCAAAACACCCTGCAATAAAAATAATTGATGTTGCGTGCATTCATCAACAAAAGTCATAAAGCAGTCGTAACTAAATCCCTTTATTTATTAAGTTGTTGCGCCCCAAGACTCTGTGAACAGGCCAGGGAAAGGCAAATGTGGCCCACAGAGACTTCCCAGAGCAATTGTTGCTTTGAAAATCCCATTTCACCTGCTCTCCCCTCCTCGCTTTTTCCCTTTGGCATCTCGGAGCTTCTGCTCCAGGCTCCAATCAAGCGAGCACCCAAATTCCTCGAGGTACCATTTTGCAGCAATATGAGCCTAATTGTTTCTAGATTGAATATTTTCATGGGGTATCAGTCTCAGTGTTCCTGGAATTAGCATGCTCACTGAAGGATTGAAGATGCTTATCGGGCCCGACAGCTTTGGTGTCAGCGGGCTCGGCGCTGGCTGGCGACAAAATTTATCTGTGCGGAATGGAGACATATGGCCAGAATCATCCGCTCCCTTTCCTCAGTAATTAAAACATCTGGGAGCACAAAAGGGCTGTAAGGATAAAAAAATCCACCCTCTCTCTGCTAAATAAAACAGGAGAATGGTGGCTTTACATAATTGCCCAGGCTTTCTCTCGCTGTCTCTGGAGGACCAAGCTCCTCTAATGTTTTTTGAATGTGTGACGGTCAATAGAAGCACAAACTGAGCTGAGCACGGCCCTCAAACTTTTTATTAATACTGTATCTTACTTTATTTTCCAAAGGATGGATTTGAATGCTCCTGAGAGGGATTGCACATTATTTAAGGAGTAGCAAAAGCATACTGAAGTCATCAACTGTTTTACAGACCATGATTACACACTGATAGCTTTCTGTGTCTGGAGCATTCTGTAGATATATCTTTGATAAACACTGTTTCACTGAGAGCTTTGAGGTTCAAATTCAGACCAGGGCAGCATGATGACAGCTGTTATCATTTGATGGATATTCAGTGCAGTGTGTGAAGCGTGTTTAATACAGTTTTATGTAATTTTCAGAGATTATGTGTCCCAAACACAAAGCCGTCTCAAAATGAAGTAATTGTCTAACTTCTTGGCCCTTGCGAAATCCCTGACAGAGCTGTGCGCTCCCAGCCTTGCAGGGCTGGACTTCAGAAGAGGAATATTATTTTTGATATATGACACTTTTAAATCCTAGAATTTGTCATCTGCAGAGATGGGCAGCCATTTTGAGAGTTACTGTTGTTTTATTGTATACAGGACTCACAATGTAGGGCTTTGTAGTGACTTTTCTTGCCTTTTTTTATTTAATCATAGAGTAAGATCATAGAATTGTTAAGGTTGGAAAAAACCTTAAAGATCAACAAGTCTGTCAGCTCAGCACTGTGATTTGAGTGGATGTTCTTCAGTCTCAAGTACCTGAATAACATCTCATCCACATTTTTTTGGAAGTGGTGAATTTACCCAGTATCTCCAGGGGGAAAACTGAGAAACTGAGGCAAAGGGGTGGAACAGAATTGCCTACAAACACATAAAAATCTGTGGCTAAGGTGGCTAAATTGAATGAAGCTCCTCTGATGCTTCTCCTGTAACAGCTTTTTGTGTTTTGAAACCACAGTTCAGCTGTACCCAGTGCTTCCACCAAGGAACCAAACCAGAGGGTCATCATGAATTTTATCTGAAAATCTGTGCAAGTAAAAAACCCAGTATCACTGAAGAATGATACCACAACCAGTTTCTCTGGAACTGCTCATTGCTAGACCCTGGTCTGTGATACCTGCACCTGTGTAACACAGGTGGGCCAAGCACAGCCTGGGCTGCTGATGAGGATGAGTGCCCACACGTGCTGTGGGTGGGCTGGGATTCAAATCCCTGACTCCTTCAGAGCAGGAGTTTGGTGCTGACTCTTCCATGGCTGAAGTGAGGGTGCTACCTCTTTGCCTTTTAGGTGCCTTCTGGATTTAAAAACGTTTCCATAAAGTGGAGATGCTCAGGTGCCTTTCCCTTCCATGCCCTGGCAGTGATACAGCAGGAGCTCTTGGCACCTGGAGACTCTGCTTTCACAACTGCTGCAAGGTAAGGACTTCTCTGTGGGCAGTTCTGGGGCTGAGGTTTGTTCCTGTGTGAAGGAGAATCTCCTGCCTCCAGTTTCTCTTTTGGAGCCCTGTGTGGGTGCCTAAAGAATTCTCAGTTTGTTGTGTCTGGTTTGTGTGGAGCAGGAGGAGGTAGGGCCCAGGGTTTGTGAGGTCTGTGGGTGATGATGGACTTAGAGCTTCAATTTTGAGAAGTGTTGTAAAGAAGGACATGGGATGAAAGGCTGATTTAGGGAGGTGGATGAAATGGAAGCAGAGGGGAGGTGATGAGGAGAAGAGGATTAAGTTCTTTGCTGGGAATTAAGGGAAAAACACCCCATGGAACTGCAGAAGCTGGGTGCTACTGGTATTCAGTTTACACTTCACACTTGCTTCCAGCAGTACCCAAGCAAACTAAATTGGGAGCCATTGGCAGTAATATCCAGATTAACTTTAATTTAGTACTGGAAGGCTCTGCAGTGAAGCACCTCTGCACTAATTTGGCTCTTTGTCAATGAAATGAGCTCTTGTGATGTTTCCAGTAACTGAAGTGGCTTCTTGATCCAGCTGGGTCCTGCCTGGGCAGCAGAGCTTGGCTTGGGAGTGAGGCATGCAAGGAGAGACACTTGGGCAATCTCACTATTTCTGATTTGTTGCTTCTCCTCCATGCATCTCATGTCTCCTTTTAGCTGAAGGTAGCTCTCCCTGCAGTGTTAGCAGCCATTGCATTTAGTAGAATACCCCAGATAATGACAAGTAGTCTTTTTCTTAAAGAAAACTTATCCCAGTAGAGGTCTAATCCAATATATTTATATGACAAACAGCTGAAGCCTTGAAAATGTCTAGCTGGCTCAAAGATTCAATTAAATCCAGCCCAGTTCTAGGTGTACTTCCTAATTAAAGTATTTGGCATCCACACAGACATAAATATTTATGCTTAGTAGAACCTATCCCAAACTGCAAAACAAATTACTCTGACAACATGGAAAACATGAATGCTCTCCATGGCTCTATTATCTGCATGCATAGCTTAAGTTTCAGCAGGTGTCATTTTATAAACCATGGAAGAAGCTGTCAGATGTGTTTGGAAGGAGGCTGACAGCATAAGGGAAGGTGGCAGTTTTAGTGGGAATGGAACAAGAATTCTGCAAGCAGCATTGTGAGCCCGATTCTGATCTCACTTTCATAAACTCAACAATCTGGGCCATATTCTCAAAGATTTGATCTTTTACCCTGTCTGGGTGCCACCAGAACCCTGACAGCACATACAAATATGGCAACAGGTCGTTTTTACCTTGGGAATTGTGAATATTTTTGTTTGGTGGGTTCCATGTTCTGCCTCTCGTGCTCTGGCCAGGATGAGTGTTATAGGCCTATGTTTGCTGGTTTCCTAACAAATCCAGAAACCATCCAGTCCCTCATAAATTCCAGTGTTATCAACGCATAATTCCTGCAGCCCCACAGTCTAGTACAGACAAGCACTTAGCTAGATATTTTGGGGCTGTGTTTTTCTGCTTGCTTTGGAAGTTGAAGTTACTGGCATGAAGAGTGTTCCTAATTTATAGCATTAGTTAATTTTCCCTGGAGACTCAGGATCCTAAACTATCCCAATTCTGTATTTTGGGCCCTATCAAATGGCATAATGAGGGTGGTCATAATTTAACATTCTTCTGGCTGGTGTAAACAAGGGATCTTGGACTTGGAAAGACCCCAGTGTTCAAACAAAAAAATAAATCTCAGAAGAAAGGTTTAGAACCAAGATGCATACAAGATTAGGTGTTTCTGCTTTGTTTACCAGCCTTCATTTAACCCCTAATTTTTGTTTTCCCCTGTGCTTTACTGTTGAAAATGGGATTAAAAAAGCAAACTCAAATCTGGGGACATCTCATAGAACAGGACACACTTGCATTTATTTTATTTATTTAGCAACAGACATCTATTTTTAAAGGAGTCAATAATCACTCACATCCTTGCTTCCAAGCAGGAAGAACAGTGGTCATAAATAGTGTAACAGACTTGGTGCCAGGTGAGCATCTGCATATTTTTTCCATTTACCTCCCTTTGTGCTGGTCATGTTCCAGGATCCCAGAAAAATAAATCTGTCCCCATCCTCCCCTCTGCTTCTGCAGTCACTTATGGAGTGGCCACCCCTTTATCCATCACTTATGGAGTGGCCACCCCTTTATCCATCCCCCCTTGGCTGTTCCCTGCAGGAATGTCCCTAATTCTCACAGAGGCCTTTGCTCCATGTAGGAGGATCCAAACCACTCATAGTTTGGAGCAGGGCAAGGGAGAGGCAAGACAGGGATGCCCCAGGAAAAACTCCATTTGTATTGATACCTAAAAACAGAAGCCAGACAAAATTAGGATAATAAAAAGCAGCTATATTTATTGAAGGTATATTTTGGGCAGAGGAAGCCTCCCAGGGGCTACACCCAAAATGGACCATGGGTTTTCACACTTTTATAAGTTTGGTCCATTTGCATATCATGGGTTAATCTTCCAATTACAGCTTCAGGTAATGAAGTAGTTTACTCCAAGTTTGCCCCAATCACAATTCACTTTTGTTTACATTTCTTGAGGCAGTGAGGTGCCTTTGATTCCCAGGCTAGAGAGGAATTGTGTCCAACCAAAATGGGAAAGCAGCAGTTCGCACTGTGGAGTTTAAAGTTATACACAAAGGAATTGCAGGGTTACAAATATATGGAAAGTAGAAAAGCTAAAATCGTAAGCCATCAGCGTCCCTTTTCCCCAAATACATTTGAGAACACAACATCCAGACCCCTGTGGGGGTGTTTGTCAGAGTGCAGGGTGGAAAAGGCTGCCCAGGCTTTCCTGGGAGCTGTTCCTTGGGAGAGCAACCCGGATTTACACAGCAGGGCTGTGGCTGGTTAGTGTTAACATTGCCTCTGTGAGCATTGGGGGAATTGGAGTAAATCTTCCAAGAACACAGAGCTGGTTTCATCTTGTTTGACACATTGTTTCCTGATAAGAGCTGCTGGGAAAATACTTCAGTTTTCTTGTCAGACCGAGCTCGCTGAGTTGCCAGGAGAGACTCTGAATCCATGAGGTCCTGAAAAGCAAATTTAAACAGGAGGGAGGGAACACAGTGATGTGTGAAATCACTGAACACCAGGGGCAACTTCCTGAAATATGGATAAATGTAAAAGTATGTGGAAATATCTCCTTGTCTCTGCCTGACAAAGGAAGGTGAAGCTTTTAATTTTCTCGGTGATTCCTGGTTGCTGTTGCTGGTTCCCCAGTTGTGCCTCCAGGTGGGGCTGAGCTGTTTGATCCCGACTGAAATTTGCAGTTGCCAAAAACTGCAAACAAGGGACTCGTTCACCTGCAGAAACTTTGGAGGGCCAAGGTGACTCAGGTGATGCAGTGTAGTTTAAAGGCAATAAGAAAAAGAACATGAAACTAGTACAACAATGTGCTTTATTTTTTATTTTTGGTGAATGGTTGAGGGGGTTTCTGTTCATTTTAGCTTAGTCCTGTTGCAAGTCTGTTCCTTATGTTAAGGTTCATGTTCCCATGCATCCCAAAATCTCTCATAATCCCACTGATGATTCTTGGAATCACAGTCTTTATTGCAGAACATTGTTTTGAAAGTGTGTGAGCGTATGCCAGCAAACACAGAGACTTCTGTTCTGAGAACTCAAAGCTTGGATAATTCTTGAGCTTATTTTGTGCATGAAGTTAAACATTGCTCTAGGTTTTGGTGGAAAACCTGCACTAAAAGTTTATGCCAACCTATGTTGGAACCCACAGCCTGAGCATGAGCTGGACAGGACTCGATGGCTGAGTTTTGACTCAGAAATTCTTTCAGACTCAGAAATTCAAGGGCTGCAAGCTCAGATAAAAGTAAACAGACTTTCCATGAACCACAGTGAACTGGAGCCATTATTCTCAGCAGAACTCACACTGAGTGGTGCTCAGCCCTGAACTGCATTGACTCCAGCAGAGAGGGAGCATTTGCTGTAAAACAATTGTGGATGTTTATTTTTGGCATCTCTGAAAATCCAGCCGTGGGCATAGGTGTGTAGTGAGGATTTATTTGCCACCTGAGCAAAGTATATTCTGTGTATCCAGCATGAGAAATAAATTAAAACATGAGTGTGGAGAGGGATATGATTTTATCATCATATCTGTGTGAAGTAGGAAATACATCCTCATGCCCTCTGAACATTTCTTTTCAATCTGAGTTTCTAGTTGCAAGAAAGGATAAACACTTTTGAAAGAGCACACTCATGACAGACACACACAGTGACAAACTTTTAAAAAATACATGTCCCTAATTTTCTAAGCAGCTGTTTAAAACTAGATACATGTCAAAAATTACCTTAGTGATGTCAGCTCAGCCTTTTGCATTTTTCACTACCTGTCCCTGGGCAAATTCTGATCCACCACCCTGCACAATCAGAGATGTGTTTCTTCTACAAATTAAAGTAGTTAAGCAAAATGGAAGCTTGAATAGAAAAGTTTATAAATTAGCTATGAAGTTCTGTAAACATGTTTGCTGCCTTTTCCTTTTTTTTCTTTTTTTTTTTTTTTAATTGCAGCTCTAAATGTTTAATTCAGAGGTTTCAGCAGCAGACATAGCTAAGGGTTCTAATGGGGCTGCTGCAGCACAGCCTCCTGTCTGTCAAATGGACAGTGCTCCCAGAAAAAACAACCCAGATTCCCCAAAAGACATCTGTGTCAAATTGATGATGAGCTTGACTGGCATTTTAGAAAGATCTTGAGATGGCAAGATTAACCCTCAAAAGGCCTGGGAGGCAAAGGGCATGGCATTTGAAAAGAGGGCCTCACACAGGACTTGGCAGGTGGAAAAACCTGCAAGACTCAGCTAAATGCAAGTCTTCTTCAGAAATTATAACTTTGGAGCTGGGGGAGGGGATGCAGGTGATGCTGTTGGCTCTCCCTGGTTTTCCTTGGAGTGGTGCAGGATTTTAGGATGTGTTTTCCATGGAAATAGCCACTGTGCAGTGCTTCATGGAA